TTGAGCTAGGAGATTCAAAGGCATGAAGTTGGGCATCCATTCTTGAATTGCAAGTCTTTATGTTGAAGAACACATAACAAAATCCTTATGCTATGCTGCATAATCTTGTGTTGCAGGCCTCCTTACTTGAAAATATCATCATAATTTAATATTTACACTCACTCTTGAGCTATCACCCAAGTTTTTAAGCCTTTGTCCAAAAGATCTTTCCATGTAAGGCATAAAGTTACCATTGCTATTCTTGAAAAGCAAACTTTTTTGTACAAATTTGTCTTGAGCCTATACTTTGTTTGCTTCTAATTTTGCTCCACCATAAATTATGGAAAGCAACCCCTCTAAACCAGCAACTTTGGTACTTTATCTTGGGATTATGGAGTACTTGACATAGTTTGAACTTTGCAATCCAACCAAACTATAACATGTTGTCTTGCAAACCTAATCAGCTCATATACACAAACCTCTTGCATATAAATAGAAGAAGCATTTGCAAGAGAAAGGGGTCATAAAAATAGAGAGAAAAGCCAGAAGTTTTATTGATAAACCCTTAAAATCTTATATTCACAAAAGCCATAACAGTCCACAAAGCTTCCACTCTTGAGTTTTGAAGTCCAAACCTTTGAACCTCTCATACCTTGCAAAGCTCTACCCAAACAAACTATCCAAACACTCCACATACATCATATAGAAGTTTGTTCAAACTCAAGAACAATCTTCTGTAACACCTTTGTTTTTTCCAAGTTCAAGAACAGTCAAGGCACAAACTCAAGCTCAAAGCATAAATTTCAGCTTCAAGGTAAGTCTTCTTGACTTTAACCCTTCATTTCAAGCATCATTAATGATTCATCTTTGAAGATAAAATGTAGTAACCATTGCCTTTGAAGCTAACATTTTGCTTGTCTTTCACCCTTGTCAATTATATGTTAAGAACTGACTTATACAGACCATAAAAGAATATTGGAGTGAAAAAATTACAGTATGAGTCGACACATCTTAGTGGAAAAACAGGTTATGAGTCGACACAAAGCCTTTATGTGTCGACACATACTGCTATACAGGAACAAAATAAAAGGAATAAAGGTTGTATGAGTCGACACAAAGCACGGATGTATCAACACATGCATGGAATGAGTCGACACATACCCTTAGGCATCGACTCATACTGAGTTGATTTGGATTTACAGGGGCAAGAAAAGCTTATGTGTCAATGCAAATGAGCATGTGTCGACACATAATATTCAAAAATGCAATTTTCCTCTCTTTGACACTATTTTTACATATTTTACATATTTTCTTCATTTCTATTCAATATGGTTGTAATATTTAAGCTTTTATTCCATCTCCATTTATAAATTGCATCCCCGTCTCCCTATTGATGTAATAGCGTAGGATTTTAATTTCCGCAAATTTATCGTTTTCATATAATTGTTAGTAATTAGGGTGTGTATGGCAAGATAAAATCAATGCTTAGAAAAATCATAATCTCAAAACAAAAATACATGCAATCAAACACATTTTTCACACTTGCACCTCTAGGGTTAAATCCACTTGTTGCCTTAAAAATAGTCATGTTATGCATGTGAGACATCTTATCAAAAACAAACAAAATACAAGATCATAGTCCCTCGATGACGCTACGAATGTTGCCTTACAATTGATCTTAGTCCCTTAAGAAAAATGCTAAGGTATCTCACAATATTGCTATCTATGACTATACGATGACCCACACCTATCCCTTCACATCCAAATATAAGGCTTCTTACCAATCAAATGGTAAGATAGCAATGTCAATGGAGGAGGAAAAGAACTAAAGACTTTTTGAGTAGGTAGAACGTTCTTAGTTGCTTTCTCATAATCCATCTTCAAAACAAACATCTTTTCAAACACACCAAACACTTTCAAAAACATGAAATATTTTCAAAAGTCCAACACTTTGTATGCATTCTTATAGAGACGAGAATCATTACAAAGTTTGCCTAAACGAATGCGGTTTTCAAAAATACTTTCAAAATCCACCATAAACACATTTCAAACAAAGTAATTTCAAAAGTGATCTAGCAAGCAACTAAGAGCCCGTAGATAACTACGGATGAAAAGGGTGTTAACACCTTCCCTTTTCATAACCTACCCCCCGAACTCAAGAAAATATCTCAAAGGTCTTTCCTGTTCTTTTCACCCTTTCCTTATTGGATAAAAGAAAAGACGGTGGCGACTCTTGCTATCCGCAACAATTGCGATAAAACGTAAAACAACCAAGTCGGTTCTCCCACCGTATTACACCTCTGATTCCAATGTGCGAGACATTCATATTCTCGCACCCTTTAATCAAAGAGTGATTAAATAGGGACATCTGTCATACCCCAAATTTTCTCGCCTCGATGCTACAATCAAAATTAGGTTTTAAAATTCTTTTGGTTCGTTTACACTAACATTCTTTGATTTTTATAAATATTCATTTTTAAATTATTTTGCTTATTTAAAAATATACATAATAATTTATTTGTATTTTTTAAAATAACAAATACTTGCTCGTCTTTATATACTTTCAATTGAGTTTTTGTTTCAAATAAGCAACATATCACAATTGGTGAGGAATAAAACTTACAAACATAAGATCATGGATTTGAATCTCACTTGGTGCACTTTGAATATTTTTCTGTCTATATGTTATTAATTTTATTTCCATTTATATTAAAAGAATCTATTTTTTATTATTTAAATATTATTTTTGTACTTTTAATTAATGCATTTTAAAAAATATATATTTATTTAGGCGCGTGTGTAATTTTTTATGGTAGTGTATTTTCACTCAACCACAAAATTGAGTTCTCTTTAGAATCCAACTCAATTTACAGGATCAGGATCCTCTCCTGCTAAATGTCTTCTGCTCCCCATCCTGCTCCAATCCAAACCTTTAAATTAATTTATAACCAAGGGAGAGGAAAAAGTTGAAGGAAAATTAAACCAATAGATTTCAATCCAATGGTCAAATATTGCATAGGAGAGACAGCAGCAGCAAAAACGCAGGAGGGGATCTTCTTCCCAATTTACCCACTTGAAATATAGAAACTCTAAAATATGTTTGTCATCCTATGTGAGACTTTAATAAATCTTTTCAAATTTACCAACACACTCTAATCATGCTTATATTCATTTATTATCAACTTAATGTCATTAACTTCTTCTAAGTCTCCACTCCAAATATTCATCATTCCAAGAACATTCATGGTATTTTCTCAATTCATTAAAAAAAAATGATTATTATTGTGGAATAGAAGGAGGGTCTGCATTGAACAACACTTAGCTAGATCAGTTTATTTAAGCTTCAATCACTTTATTTGCTATTTCACCAAAACTAAACTATTTGATCCTAAGTGCTCCAAAATATCACCAGATTTTGTAGCTTTTGGATTTACCATAAGATTAAGACATGGAAACATCTAATAATTTTACAAGAATTGAACTAATGTAGAACCCTAGAAGTAGCTCAGAACATGAATCCAAACTTGTTTGGTTTTTTCTCAAGAGTTGGCAAGTCAACGGATAACATGTTAGTATTAATTAAGCTCCTATTATAGCCTCTACGTAGAGTTGTAGACAATATATAATATTAGTATATATTTTCTATTACGCCACTTGTCTCATATGACATTCTCAATATTCCACGACACAGTGAAATTGAATACGACACACAATGGCTGCTTTCAATAAACAAACTATATACCCTGAATCATATCTCTAGATAAGCACCTACACAAATAATAACCCAGTGGAGTGGACCACAACAAATGCTTGCTAACTTTATCATGTAATTACATGCTAAGAGCGGTTTTGAATCAATTATAGGAAATGAGCAAAAAAGAAACCTAAAAAATTTACAATTAATAATTCTAAATTTCTACAGAGCAAAAAAGCAGACAAAGGCTTTCAAGGTAAGCAAGCATCCATCCCCCACCTCCCATTATAAGGAAATTATTTTAACAATAATGCATTCTAATTTTAACTTTACTCAAATTTACACTTAAGAAATACAATGATCATTCTATAAAAATGAAGTCTATTTACTTCCTGTGTTTTAGGTATCTCTGACAGATGCAGCTGCTACCTGCTAGCATGTATGGCTTCAACTGTTCGAAACAAATCTTAGTCTTACATAAATTAAGAAATTGCATAAACTTTCATCACCCAAAACCAATACAGAAGAGAAATAGAAATCCAAAAAAAAAACAATATTTTATACCATTCAAATATACAATATTTCTAGAAAAAGAAACTAATTTTCCCCTCCATATATGAATTTCCAAAGTTCTAAGCAGTTATCTAGAAACATGGAGGTGTTATCAAATTGTTCTATTAAGAAACTACATGTAGAGCACAAATTCACAATGAAATTGACAAAATCACAATGAGATATCTTATTTTTGCCAAAAACTATATTTAGGAACTTCCCAAAATCAGTGTCATTGTAATTTTACAGACACACTGCTCGTCCAAACATGCAGTAGTAGATAAGATTTTTCACAAATCTTAGAGCAGTTCGCTTTGCTCCTTATTCTCTATATTTAAACAAAAGCCTAGTTCACTATATCATATAGTACCTCCAAATCTGATGCCTAGCCTATGCTAGGGTATAAGTAACTTGATTATTAGAACTGGATTTTAAAGTCCAACCTAGAAGAGTAAGATAATTTACAATTTGAGAAAAATGAGGAACATCTATAAGATAAAAAGAACATGACATAATTTACATGTATACTATGAACATCAGCACAAATAATTTTCTTAAATGATTATCTACTACTCATACGAGAGCGAAATGGTCAAAACTTAAAAGGCTCATTGCCTCGTTCCTTGCCATACATCATGATTTCACCCATAAGAATACAAAGAATCCAGAGGAAATAATTTAATCTTGTTGGTTAGTGTCACGTTCAGTGCAGAAAGAGCATTATGTGCAGAATGAGCAGTATGTGCAGAGTAAGCATCATGCTGGACTAAATAGATCAGCTTAAGTGACATTCCGTTATTTGATCTTTGGTAGTTTCATCTTTCAATATTTTTTGCAAGGCTTTATGACATCTGAAAGTATTCAATTGATTTCGGTAAGAATATATCTCAATCATTTAGGTTTAAGAATGAAGAAACACCTGGTTATAATTTGGCTTACCTCCAAGGGAGATGATCGAGGAACATGGATGGTGAAACAATAATATCATTGAAATTCTCTCTATTTGCTACGTAAGCTCTATAACATCTCTCCCTCTCCATCGTTCTCCAAGATCTCTTAAGATCGGTTTGAGGTCTTTTCTTGTCTGGGACGATATGAATTATGAATCCCGGCAAATACATCTCTGGGGGATCATCAGCAGACTGGTTTTCAGAAGTTGGAACAGAATCTATAAACTGTGACACGGGATCATCTCTTGAATGTACGTCTGAAGCAAAAGGATTAAACTGTGACACGGGATCATCTCTTGAATGTACGTCTGAAGCAAAAGGATTAAACTGTGACACGGGATCATCTCTTGAATGTACGTCTAAAGCAAAAGAATTTGTAAAATCAGCATTATTAATTTCAACGATATGGTCACTTGACCTACTATCAGCCCAGAGTGAAATTTCATCATGTTCGTCATCACCTGCAACACAAACAAACAAAACCAACATATACCATCACCATGCAAACAATCAGAATAACAAAATGATTTGCAATCTTCATTCCCAAAAGGACGCATATAGTCACCATGGTCAGCTATAACAAGAAGATCCCTTTTACTAGCCTCAGTCCAGAGTGAAGCATCTTGAACCACTTGATCGTTGCTGCCTGCAGCATATAGTGAAAATCTTCTCAGAAAGGAACCTCTCACCAACCTAGTTTCATAAATGATGACATAATCACTAATAAAAGTAGCAATATCAATATGCACTGATTAACACGCCTGCTAACTATTCAGATAAACAACCTTCATGCTCTGCCTCTTGATCATTTCTTTCATATTGGCTTATAAATAGAAACCGACGAGCAAGTCTGAAAATCATGGCACTGTCAGCTTTAGGATCTTGTGCCAGTAGTGTGATAGCAGCTGCCCTCAGCCTCATCATGGATCCAATTGAAAGGCGGGATGAAAACTCATTTCCGTATATAATGCTGCATCATTAACAGTGAAAAGGAACAGAAAAGGAAGCTGAAAGTTTTGCCAAAAGAGAATCAACCACAATCAAACTTCTCGCACGTAAAAAAAATTACCTTGTTATAAATGACGAACATGCATTAGCCACAACTAAATCCACACATGGGAGTGGCCCATATGAGTAAACATGCAGATTGGGGTATCGGTTATAAAGCTGTAGAAAAACTCGGAAATTATTTAAGAATAAAATCAAACATTTACAAAGATAAAATGGAAAGTAAAACATACTACATATAAAATGACCTCCCATGTATGGACGTTTCCAGCATTTCTTCATTTTCAGTCTGGGCCAGTACTAAACTAACAATAACAAATAATTTAAAGTTCTTACTTGAATTTTCAACTGGACCCTGAATCTGGTCTAAGTAACTTGATTAATTCTTACAGATAATAATACAAACAAATATTGCACCTATTACACAAAAGTCTTGGGAAGTGAAGGGTACTTAGAGATCCTACAGTCCAAGAGAAGAGCTAATTGAAATGCATATATAGACCAAAAACTAAGAAATCGTATATCCAATACCCTTCTTTTTTTCAGGACAAATATACATGAGTTCAAACAGAAGCAATACTATGCTTATTTTTACGTAGTAAAATGTCATTGGCAGAAGCTAACTTAGACTGTCCTCTTTGGATTTTGGAAAAGTTTCTTATTCCTAAATATATCATGACTCGTATGTTCATTTCATTAGGATTAGGAGTTTAGTATTCGTATAAATAAGGATTAGTGTTATGTTGTTCGTGGCAAGACCCAATAAATCTTTCAAAAGCAATATCAATATACTTTTTTTTCATATACTTTTTTTTCCATATAACGAGAACTAAATAACCAAGGAAAGCAAGAAACATGAGATATTTGTTTTGCAAATAAAGTTTTTTTCAGAATAGACTCTCAATGAATATTTGGTTCTAAATGCAATCAAAATGGAAGATTAAGCTTACTGAAGAAACTAATAGAAGGTAAAATCCGCCTTTAAAAGTGAGAAATGGCATACTTTTATTCCAAGCAATGCAGCTATAGCACCCCCAAGTGAATGGCCAACTATGCGGACATTATACCCAAAGCACTCACAGCCAAATCCCAGCAATTTAGAAAGAAGCCCATAGGATTCAGTGTCTGTATTTCCATGCAGAAAAAGAAACCAGTGTTAAAAAAAGGAATATGTGCTATGTAAGAAAGACAAAAATGTTTAAAATTTCTATTTGGCAATTCATAAATAAAGAGTATAGTTTTACTCAATCATGTAACCACTAACCATTCACTGGTGATTACTTAACCCTCACAATAACTAAAGTATTTGTAATAGAAAGCAGGAAACAACAACAGCCAAACCTTATTCCACTAAGTGGGGTCGGCTACATGGATCAACTTGCTTCATAATTATTTTTTTTGGGTCTGTGCGTCATAATGTTCTATCCAATACCATACTTCTATCCAAATCATTAGTCTCGAGATCTTTCTTAATAACTTCTCTTATGGTCTTTCTAGGTCTTCCTCTCCCTCTAATTGATTGACTTCTCTCCAACTGATCTACTTTCCATACCACATAATCTCAGGTTTTCTCTCTACATGCCCAAACCATCTAAATCTATTTTCCAACATCTTCTCAACTATAGATGCTACCCCAACACTCTCTCTAATTTTTTCATCTCTAATCCTATCGTGTCTAGTCTTACCACATATCCAACGCAACATCCTCATCTCTGCTACACTTACTTTATTCTTGTGTTGATTCTTAACCGTTCAACATTCTGACGTACAACTGCAACATCGCAGGTCTTACTGCAATCTGATAAAAAAATTCCTTCAGCTTGAGTGGTACCTTTGCGTCGCATAGAACCCCTGAAGCTCTCCTCTATTTCAGCCACCAAGCTTGAATTCGATGATTTACATTACATCCCCTTCTATTTCTCCATCATTTTTTATTACGGACCCAAGATATTTAAACAGCGTGTGACTTGCGGATGATATGGTTTCTAACTTAAAGCAGCAAAGAAGAAGAAAATTTCATTTGAAAAGATCACCTCTTTATATCAAAGAACCGTAAGCATTTCTTACCATGCTCTCCAGGGTTTCCTTCAATCTGCATATAAACCTCTCGTGCAGCCTCAACTATACCCGAATGCCCATAGTGGGGGAATGATGAAGTCACATTTTTGTGTATATCAGAACGAATGTAGTTGGAGCTGCAAGGAGAAATTTAAAATATCAACACGAGAGACCAAAGTACTGCATTGGAACATGTGAAATATCGACATGGGGAAAATAAAAATTACTTTATCAAACCAGACAAGTCTTCTGCAGAAAGGGTGCATTCCTTGCATAACCCATCAGTTATCAGGTCCTCGGGCGTTTCAGTTCCACGTATAGCAATTACTACAGTTTGTAGATGATGTAGAACCACAATAAAATATGCAGGTTCACACTTGACCTGGCATGGATATTAGCAAAAAAACAACCTTTATACTTGTAGACTCTGCCAGTATAAGATAAAAAAAAAATTCACAATGTCATACACAAATTGAGTAAATAACAATCTCGGGTTGGATAGCCTTAGGTTTCCCCGCTATTATAACAACAACCAAAGCCTTTTCCTATTGGATCCACGTGTCTAAAGTGAACAACTCACTTTGTTTAGAGTGTAAAGTGAGTGATATCAATGATTGATAATACATATATAACAATTCATGTGCGCTGCAATACAACCCCTTGGTTTTCTCATTTTACTAACAACTCATTTTAGAGGAGCTGGTAGATATGGCAAATATTATGAGAGGACACGTAAGAAGAAAGAGAGAGGTGGAAATATTATATAAAACAAAGACTGTTAGCAGCTGCACATGGCTTTGCCAGGTGGCAGCAGCTGGTTGGTAAGAGAACCTCGGAGTAAGGGAATAAATGATAGGGGAGGATTTCATTTTAGATTGTGCAGAATTTAAGTGGATTATTCCCTAGTAGAGTTCAGGCCTCTCGAAGTGTCTTTCTCATCTTTCTACTTTCTCTAATTTTCTGCATTCCTTGTACTACTAGATCCCATATGAACTCTCTAGTATGTAATAAAAATCATTATTTTTCTTCTATTTTTTGTGTACTTACTTTCTACTTCCCCTTAGATACTCAATTGAGCCTATCAATTTGGTATCTAGAGCCTTAGTTTCATCTCATTGTGGATTGTCGTGACGAGAAGTATCATGGAAAACTGAGTAGATACTATAGAACAGAGAATGAACAACTTTGAAGGAACGATGGAGCAGATTCGGCAGCTGGTGATGGAGCAGCAGACGAGGCCGCAAGTCATGGTGGAGCAAATCCGCCAGCTGATTCAAGAGCGTCTGGGACGGAATAACGGAAGATCCGACGACAAAGATGAAGGAAGCAAAGGAGCACAATATCGCGAGATTCTAGACCCAGGAACCGCCGTCTTAGTGGCGGAAACGGATCTCGTTTCATGGGAAGGAGATGACGGTTAGAAATTCCGATTTTCAGAGGAGAGGACGCGTATGGGTGGCTTGTTCGTGTTGAGAGGTATTTTCACCTCAATAGAGTGAGGGTGCGTGACAAGCTAGATGCAGTTGTGATCACCATGGAAGACAAAGCTCTGAACTGGTATCAATGGTGGTAGGAGCAGGCGTCATTGAAGACTTGGGAAGAGTTTAAAGTGGCTGTGATGAGGAGGTTTCAACGTGGGTTATTGCACAATCCTTTGGGACCCATGTTAAGCCTGAAACAGAGAGGGTCGGTTGTAGAGTATATGGAGAAATTTGAAATGTTAATAGCTCCTTTGAGAAGAGAGGAAAGGATCATGCTGGACTCTATTTTTCTGAATGGATTGAAGGAAGAGATTCAAGTTGAGCTTAAACTCCATGAGAGTCAAAGCTTAACAGAGTTGATGGACAGAGCCTTACTAATTGAAGAGAAAAATGAAGTGTTGCATAAGAAGGGTGGCTTTTGGAGAGATAGAGGAGGACTCTTAAAGCTCAAAGATCCTGCAGAAATTGGAGGATCTAAGAAGGAAGGAAAAAGAGTCAGTGGTGGAGGAAATGAGAGATATAAGGGCAAAAGATTAAATCCTGCAGAGCTGGAAGAAAGAAGCAAGGACTGTGTTTTAAGTGTGGAGACAAATGGAGTAGGGTACATAACTGTAAGTTCAAGCATATGAGCTTAAAATTATGTGAAAATAGCAGTGATGAAGAAGAAGAAACAGGGGGAATAGGAATCCAAACAGAAGAACTGGTGGAAGCAGAGGAAGAATTCAAAACTCTACAACTGTCTATGCAGAGTAAACAAGGATTTACTTCTAACAAATCATTTAAAGTTTGGGTGACTATGCAGGGGAAGAAGCTAGTAACCCTAATTGAGTCAGGAGCAACAAGTAATTTTATTGATGCCAAACTGGTAGAACAGATGGGGTTGAAGTTGGTAGAAACTTCTCCTTATGTAATTGAAGTGGGAGATGGGGAAAGAATCAAGTATCAGGAATCTGTGAAGGGTTGGAATTCATGATGCGGGAGTGGAATTCAACCAGCACTTCTTTTTGATAGAGTTAGGAGGGACGGGTATGGTGTTGGGAATGGATTGGTTGGCTTGTTTAGGTAATATTGAAGCAAACTTTGGGGAGTTATGTCTGAAATGGGAGTATGAAGGACAGAAGCACAGTACATGGGAACCCTATTTTGTGCACCAAACAAGCTTTCATGAAGGCTATGATAAAAGCTTTGCATAATGAAGGAATGGGATTTCTGGTGCAATCTATGAAGTCTGACATAGTTGGTGACTCAATTGAGTCAAGAGAGTGGGAAAATATATTGGAAAAATTTGAAGGAGTGTTTAATTTACCTTCAGGACTTCCAACCATTAGGGAACATGATCATGCTATCATGTTGAAACCTGATGCTGCAATTCCTAATCTAAGGCCTTATAGATACCCTTTCTATCAAAAAAATGAAATCGAGAAGATTGTAGGGGAGATGTTGCAGGCAGGAATTATCAGGCACAGTACTAGTCTTTTCTCAAGTCCAGTTTTGTTAGTGAGGAAGAAGGATGTTGGATGGAGGTTTTGTACTGATTACAGGGCTTTAAACAAGGTGGCCATACCTAATAAATTTCCTATCCTTGTCATTGAGGAATTATTAGATGAGTTGGGAGGGGCTGTCATCTTCTCTAAATTGGATCTGAAATCTGGTTATCATCAGATTAGGATGAAAGCAGAAGATATAACCAAGACTTCTTTTAGGACTCATGAAGGGCATTATGAATACCTAGTCATGCCCTTTGGACTGACAAATGCTCCCTCAACATTCCAAGCACTCATGAATGAAGTACTAAGGCCATTCTTGAGGAAGCTTTGCTTGGTATTTTTTGATGATATCCTAATTTACAGTAGGAGTAAAGAGGAACACAAGGAACATTTAACAGGGATCTTACAAGTGCTGAGGGACAAGAAACTGTTTGCCAATAAGAAGAAATGTTCATTTGGCCAATAAGAAGAAATGTTCATTTGGCCAAAAAGAAGTGGAGTACTTGGGACATTTGATTTCTGGACAGGGGGTAGCAACAGATCCTAAGAAAATAGAGGATATGCTCAAGTGGCCTGTTCCTAAAAACTTAAAAGGTTTGAGAGGATTTTTGGGCTTAACTGATTACTACAGGAAGTTTGTGAGAAACTATGGAAAGATTGCTTGGCCCCTCACTCAGTTACTCAAGAAAGACAGTTTTGTGTGGGGTCCTGAGGCACAATTGTCTTTTGAAGAACTGAAGGTAGCTATGACCACTATCCCTGTTTTGGCTATGCCCAATTTTGAGAAAGAATTTGTGTTGGAAACAGATGCTCTGGAAAAGGTATAGGAGCAGTATTGATGCAGGAAGGAAGACCTATTTCCTACATGAGCCAGACTTTATCTGACAAAGCTCAGCAGAAATCAGTGTATGAAAGAGAGCTGACGGCCATTGTGATTGCTATTCAGAAATGGAGACCCTATTTATTAGGAAGGCATTTTAAGGTGCACACTGATCAGAAGAGCTTAAAGTTTATCACTGAGCAGAGAATTATGAGGGAAGAACAACAAAAATGGCTATCCAAACTGCTAGGGTATGATTTTGAGGTGAAGTATAAACCTAGGAAGGATAATAGTGCAGCAGATTCTGTGTCAAGACAGATGCAATATCATCATATAACTACTATCCAGTGTGATGCTTGGGAGGGGCTGGAGGATGTAATACAGAAGGATGAAAAGCTGATAAAGATAGTACAAGCCCTGTTGATAGATCCTCACAGTCAGAAAGGTTTTTAGTTAAAAGGAGGAAGGTTGTACCATGAAGGAAGAATAGTAGTTCCTAGAGGATCACCTAGAATCAATTGGATTCTTAAGGAATTCCATGATATTGCTGTGGGAGGACATTCTGGATACTTAAGAACCTATAAAAGAATTGCTAGTGTGGTTTATTGGGAGGGCATGAGAAACAACATACAGGAATATGTCCAGGCTTGTGAAATTTGCCAGAGGAACAAATATCACACTTTAACTCCAGGAGGGCTACTTCAACCCCTTCCCATTCCTAATCAGACAAGGAATGATATTTCCATGGATTTTATTGGGGGTTGCCTAAGGTTAAATGAGTGGACACAGTGATGGTAGTAGTAGATAGGTTAACCAAGTATGCTCATTTTTTCCCTATTAGTCATCCCTATACAGCCGAAGACATTGCTGAAGTCTTTATTAAGGAAATAGTCAGATTACGTGGATTCCCCAACTCCATTGTGTCAGACAGGGACAAGGTGTTTTTAAGTACTTTCTGGGTAGAATTATTCAAACAGACAGGAACCAAGCTGAAATATAGTAGTGCTTATCATCCTCAGTCTGATGGCCAAACAGAGGTGGTGAATAGGAATTTAGAAACCTATTTGAGATGTGTTACTGGGCTGAAACCTAAGAAGTGGCCTAAGTGGCTGACTTGGGCAGAATATTGATATAATACCAATTATCATGCTTCTCTAAAGACTACTCCTTTTGAGGCTCTATATGGGAGGCCTCCCCCTGTATTGATAAGAAGAGACACTCCTTTATCAAGTGTGGATGAGGTTAACAAACTGACCGCTGAAAGAAATGTGATGATAAAGGAGCTGCAGGAGCAATTGCTTAAAGCTCAAGATATGATGAGGAGCCAGGCTAATAAACATAGAAGGGAAGTGGAATATGAGGTAGGAGATATGGTATTCCTGAAAATTTAACCTTACAAGATGAAAAGACTAGCAAAAAGGCTAAACCAAAAACTTAGTCCAAGGTACTATGTGCCATATGAAGTGATACAGAGAATTGGAGATGTGGCCTATAAGCTCAAACTGCCTGAGGACACAAAGGTACATCCTGTGCTTCATGCTTCTTTGTTAAAAAAAGTTGTTGTTCCATCTGTGGAACCACAACCACTAGCAACTTGCATGAATGAAGAATGGCATTTAGAACCAACTCCTGAAAAGGTGCTAAGTGGTAGAAGGAATGAACAGGGTGAGTTAGAGGTCTTGGTGAAGTGGAAACATCTTCCAGACTTTGAGAATTCGTGGGAATTAACTGAAAGAGTGCAAGCAGAATTTCCAGCATTCCTCCTTGAGGTCAAGGAGAGTTTTGAAGGGGGGAGAATTGGTAGATATGGCAAATATTATGAGAGGACACGTAAGAAGAAAGAGAGAGGTGGAAATATCATATAAAACAAACATTGTTAGCAGCTGCACATGGCTTTGCTAGGTGGCAGCAGCTGGTTGGTAAGAGAACCTAGGAGTAAGGGAATAAATGATTGGGGAGGATCTCATTTTAGATTGTGCAGAATTTAAGTGGATTATTCCCTAGGAGAGTTCAGGCCTCTCGAAGTGCCTTTCTCATCTTTCTACTTTCTCTAATTTTTTGCATTCCTTGTATTACTAGATCCCATATGAACTCTAGTACATAATAAAAATCATTATTTTCCTTCTATTTTCTGAGTACTTACTTTCTACTTCCCCTTAGATACTCAATTGAACCTATCAGGAGCCCAATCATTTCACATTATATGGGATCAGTTGCATGGATCACCCTAACTTTTCCTTTGGGGGCTTCATTCGTGATGGTATCTTGTTTCAAGTGACCATGCTCAGTCAACCATTGTATCATTTTTACCTCTGCAACATCGATCTTACTTAATTGTTAGCTTTTGATCGGGCAAAATTCAATCTCTCCCAACATTGGAGGTTTTATTACTGTGATGAAATTTCCCTTTAAGCTTGAGTTGTACCTTTATATCAAATATTACATCTAAGGAGATCCTTCATTTCATTTATCCCACCCGGATCCTATGTTTTACATCTTTCTCTATTTTCCATCATTCTATATATGATGGACCTAAGATACTTAAGATCCATGGTAAGGTATGGTCTCTTCATTTCATCACATCTAAGCTATGCTATAATTTTGTTCCTTTTGATAAACACGCATTCTATTAA